TCTTACAGAGGATGGACTGCCCAGCAGCCAAACCCAAAGACGGGAGATAGGAAGTTTTAAGTCTCCCAGTGGACAGTGAACACTTTCACTGGCTACCAGTATGCCTTCGTCATAAAGACACACTACAGCCATTAGCCAAGGCACGCTAAACAACCCCCACCAAGTCTGGGATAGTGGTGTACACAGTGCTTTCTGGAAAGGCCCCTTTTAGATCTAGGCATAAGTAGTCGCAAATCAAATCAAGCATTTCTTCATGACTCGCATTCAAAGAAAGCTCACGAAACCCAGTATGTGCATTACTTTCCAGAGCAGAAATGAAGACAAGGCCTCATGTGGCCCTTACATCACTGAACAGTACAGCACTCATTTCTGCACAGTGACCCACAACTCACCAGCTGCTCTCGGACCTTAGGTCACACAACTGTCACCTAAGGCCAGTGTGTTTTACTACACTTTGGGGACAGGAAGCTCAAGCATCCCTTGAGCATGTTCGTCTTTGTCTCTTTGTTTCTGGTCCCTCATGGTAACAGGGACATCACTGAGGGAAACTCCAGTCCAATGCCCTCTTGCAGACAAGAAGGCTCAGACTTGGTATAACAACGCTCATCCCAGGTCACACAGCTCAACAGACCCATCTCTGAAACTAAAGGCCATGCCTCCTAAATTTCCTCTCTCTCTTCCTATCAACAATTTTTCTTCTATACAAACTAGGCAGCCATTCCTGGGTTATCAAACTTAATGCACTAATTTCCCTGTTTTCTTTCAATTGTGGATGAGAGATAGCAAGCTGCTATTGAAGCAATATGGATATGAATTGGGAATGGGGCATAAAAACATATTTTGAATTACAAACCTCAATATCATTTTGGTACAAAAGATTTATGAGCTTCAACTTCCTGACAAGATAAATTTCTTTGTGAGACCTACACTGTTACATAAACACAAAAGTTCCAGATCCTGAACTACAAAGAGAGAAAGGGTTATCCAAACTGACTATACCAAACTGGAGGGCATTTAAATCCCACAGTAGAGCTTTGGGGTTTTGCTGTATGCACTTACGCTCAAGAGCATGCTATATTAAGTAAACCAAATCTCATGTTCAGCTCAGAACAATGTTGCTAACACTTCCTGTTTCTTCCCACAGTTCTTTGGGGGCATTATTGGCATGAGGACCAAAAAAAAGTTAAATGTCACCTCAGCTAGAGTGGGCAGAAAAGGGGTTTGATGAACACAAACAGCAAACCTTTTGACAAAAAGAAAAGGGGTCTTGTTTTGTTTTGTAGTTTTTTTTTTTCAGGAATCATGGAACTCGTTATTTATATCAACAAAGGACCATCGTCTTTTAAAATGTAGTCTGTAATATCTCAGGAAAACTGACTGTGTGAGGTCCATGGTCTCTGTACCCTAACTGGAGATGGGAAACGCTCAATTTGTCACAGAAGCAGATCTAGGCTAGTGTTTAGAGAGCGAGGGGTAGTTGGTGCTGTTTTTCCTAAGATGAGGATGGCCCGGATGCCCATCCCTCCTCACTGGGTCTGACACCAGCCTAGGAGTGAGTCTTGCTAGCAGTAGAACTTTGCTATGGCACAAATGACTTATTAGGGTATGCACACATTTTTCCTGCCCATTGACTGTCCCAGGAAAGAGCAAAGACAAATGATCTAAAAGCATCTCTTTATGGTTTGGAGGGTCCCAGGGAGTGCAAATTCAGTGTTCAGTAGGGAGAAAGTCGCAGAAGTTTGTCTCAAAGACAGCTTGGCCAACAATTCCTTTAAAACACCCTATTCCAATTACCAAACAACTCAACCACCATCTCCCCAGAAAGGAAGGTAGCCCTTTCCTCAAACCTGATGGAGCCTGCGTTCATTCATTTGGTGTAGTTAAGCCAGATCCTTGGACTATGGTACAGGATGGAGGGGTGAGAGTAGGCGCACTGACAATGATTTACAAGGGCAGTGAGCCCTGGTCCAAAGTAGCTTCCTTCTCACCGGGGGCTAAGACCTTCCCTTCCCAGTCAGCATCTGTAGGCTGGGTGCCCCGAACCCGCGGTAGCCAGGCATATGGCGCAAACTAGAGCTAACCGGACTGGATTAGGAGTCCTGGAACTGAGCCACAGGTGCACGAACGTCCCTAGCCTTTCCCGAAATCCCACCTAAATACTCTATAATCTTCAATATCCCTGAAATTCCAAAAGTAAAACTGAAAAGTTTGGGAAGTGTCTCAGGAACCCTGTTTCCTGGCATTGTCTGGGGTACTCCTGGATGCCGCACTGACATCAAGAAGGATCACCCGCCCGCTGCCTCTCGTCCCAGGGCCCCGGGGATCTCCCTAGGATTTTTATGCGCAAAGGTCCCCACACGTCAGCCACTGGAGTGCCCCAAGTCCCCGCTGTGCAGCGCTGGTGGCTTGCACCACTCCAGTATCCCCCCCCCCGCGCGCGCCCACTTCTCGCCGCTCCCCATGAGAAAGGAACACTTGGGCCCTGCGACAACCCTGTGGAGTATTCTTTGGAATTAACTGGATACTCACTTCCATGGCCCGACCCGGTGCAAAATTGTGGGTTTCGATGCCTTAGGATGAGTTGTGCCCTCAGCAGCAGCAACGTCGGGAGGAAGAGGGGAGGGAACCCTGGTTGAAATTGCAGTTTGCAAACACAGAACCATTTTGTGCTTATCCTCACCTCAACTGAGCCCACGGATGCCCCCACCCCCACCCGAGGACGCGCAGGCTGGGAGTGCTGGGGACGCGCCGCGCGCTCCACTTGGGAAAATGAAATGCTTCCTGTCCCGCGCCTGTCAACAATCGCTCAAGTGGGAAGAAATAACCTGCGGTGGAGTCTCTAATGCCCATCTCCCACCCACCTGACACCCTGGAGCGGACTAGACACCGCTCCATCCCCCCCTCCCCATCCCCACCACCGACTGAGTTGAGACCCAGTAAAATCACCTTCTGGATCCCTGCAACGGCCAGGTGACCACGTTGTTGCAGTGACTACAGACCTGGCCAGTCCTGTTTTTAATCCAATCCTTTTAAAATGCCTCTTCCTCGATCTTGGCCTTGCGCTTTCACATTCGTTGGCGGAAGAACGTCCTCCCGGACCAACCCTCCCCAGAGATCGCGAGCGACTGGCACGTGGCTCACGCCCACTCTCCTCCCAGGGTCTTTTCTGCTGGACCCGCGGCGCACACCCTACTCCTTTGCTGCGCCGTGGACACGGGCGACCCCTGTCGGGGACCCCTGTTCCAAGCTAGGCGACTACAATCATGCATTCTGAGTGGCTTTTTTCCAGGTCTAGGTTTACTGGCTTTCCTAAGAACCCCAGAGTTGCTCCAATCTTTATCTCCAAACTCCACTTCTAGACCTTTCCAGACGCATCCAGACCCCGGATGCAGACCTTTCCCCAGCACTCGAATTTCCATTCACATCCCAAGCCTAGCCCCGAGCGCCTACCCATGGAGGGCTCCCCTCCCGCAGCAGTCCGGTGGGTTGCTAAACTGAGCAAGAGACAATTTTTTCCTAAAATTCACTTCCCATCCCTGACCTTCCCTAGAACGGGAAAACCGAAAGTGACCTGGCAACTCTTCAGGTTGACCTTGTACGCCTTTTGCTGCTGGGAGGTCCATGCTTCCTCATCCTCTGTGAGCCTCGCCCGGGGTCCCCAACCTCTCACCTTTGCGGGGAGTGCAGGGAAAGCCCGAGTCTATCACTAAATTCGGCACAAACCTCATCTCCCCCGGACACAAAATCCCACTGACTGCATGCAGCCTTCCCTATTGCACCGAGTACCCTGGACAGTTAGTCTTTTTAATAAGCACCTCCTCGCTCCGCCTAGTCCACGCAGGATCCAACAACACTGAGGGAACAAGAAAACACGACCCCTAAAGGAGCGAAATTAATCATTCCCTCTGCCCTCGTGGATTTTGCACCTCGCCTCAGCAGTTTGTCACATCAGAACGTGGCAGAGTCTCGTTCCGAGACACACACACACACACACGCACACGCATGCACACATACATTGACGTGGGGGAGGGGGGCCTCTTTAACACACACCCTAGCGACTGCACATACAGGCTTGCACACGGTTCCACAGGCACACACGCACACACACACACACACACACACACACACACACACACACACACACACACACGCACGAGGCAGTTGCGCTTGGATGCCCTCATCCCGGCCCAAGGCACCCCTCCACCCTGGACCCTCTAGCTCTGGACTAGATACAAATGAACCACGGAAAAAAAAAACTGGAATAGCTCGCTCCCCCTCTTTTTTCCTACTTAATTCGCTAAAGAAGCTCCTGGAGTAACCAAAAGGAGTCGAAACTAAGGCGTGGCCACTTCAGTTGGGTTTTTTCCCACCTCAAAACCTTTATTTTCAGTTTTTAAAAGCCACCTTAGCCCGCCATATTGGAACTGGTACGGTGTCTAAAGACTCCTTCCCCGCTGCTGTAGCGCTTCCAAGAAAACACAAGTATGGACTGGGCTGGGGACGTGTGTCCGGCCACTGCGAACCAACCACTTCCCACACCCAATGTTCTCCCTTTACGAACCTAATCCCCTTCAACCGCTCCAGGTCAGAAATCAAAACATACATCTAGCAGTTCCTACGGTTGCTTTTTTTTTTTTTTTTAAAGAGGATTTCAGCAAGACACACACGCACATAAAAATAAATAAATAAACTCCCGAGCTCGATCAGTTTAGTAATTCTGAAAAGAGACGGGATGAGTGTACACAAGAAAGCCCCAAGTGACGGGATGTTACTTTAAACGGTGACAAAAAAATGAACAAAAAGATCGCCCTTGCTAGAGCTCGCTCCGAAACTACTATTGACAATTTCAGTTCCGCTGCACAAGGCAAATGTTTCCAATCGGGCGATTCCAAATGTCTGCGCGATTTTGGAAACAGCCCCCACCCGACCCCTGCTGATCTCCAATTCCACCACCACCACCACCTTCCTCTCCCTAGTCCCCCAAACCTCCAAATACACACCAAAAGAGGGAGACCCCAGAGTCGAGGAGACGCGGGAACGCGGGGTAGGTGGCAGAGGCGGCTGCGTCGCTAAAACGAGTGCACAAGCAAGGAAGGTGGGCGGCGGGAGAGAACGGGCTGCACCCGGAGGAGGACGAGGTCACTTTGCAACTCCGGACAGACTCCCGCAAGGCCTGGCTTTTCAGAGCCCGGAGCCAGAGGGAAGGGGGTGGGGAAAGAAAAAAAAATGACAACCCAGAGCGCAGAGAGGAGTTAGAGGCTTCGCTCAAGTGCTGCTCATTTCCTCTCCAGCCCCTGCTCTTCGGTTTTTCTCCTCCTTCCTCCCCAACCCCCCGCCTCCCCCACCTCCACCCCTAGCTTGGTTCGGGCTTCCTTTTTCTTTCTTTCTCCTTCTTCTTCTTTTTCTTTCTTTTTTTTCTTTTTTTTTTTTCCTCGAACTAAACTGAAAAAAAGACGCCTTTCGGCGCACTCAACCTGCGGGCCAGAGATCTGCTTGCGGGCCGGGTTAGGCGAGGGAACAGTGGCTGGGAAGGCGTCTTACCTGATGAAGTTCGTCCTGCCCCAGAGAGTGGAGCCTGGCCCCCGGGTGCGACGGGAGTGGGCGCTGGTCGTGCTCACCCGCCCTCCAAGCTCACTCGCTCTCTACCCGCCGCCTCCCTAGCGCGCCCGCTCGGGTCCTCCAGCTCCCACTACAGCCTCATTCCAATATGGCATCCTCTCTATGCGCATGCCCGGCACTCTTTTTTAAGATTTCTCTTTCTCTCTGTACAGCGAACTCCTTCAACGACCTTTTCCAGCGCTTGCAAAATGTCTCAAGCCAATTAGCCTGCTGTTCGTGGTAGACTCCTTCCGCCCACAGCGCGAAATCCTCCCACCCCCACGCTCTGGCATACACAGACACCTCCCAGGCAGGCACCGTTCACGCCACGCGGCCCCCCTGGGGCCGCTCCCTTCCCTCCTTTCCTTCAAACTCCCTCCATAAGTGATGGGTAGAAAGTTCACACCGCAAGCGTCCCCGAACACCCATTTGCACCGACAACTGGACTAACTCCGCAATTCCTCCGCGGTTGTTTGCTTTCTGGGTTTGCAATCCCCTGGTCGACCCAGTATACAAACTTGTGCTATATCTGCCCAAGAGCTTCCTTAGTGGGGAGGATGGGGACCCCAAAACAAAATCGATTGTCCCGCCTGGTCCGCCCTCCCCTGGTCTTTAATTGTGCTTTTTCTACTAAGATTCTCAAGTCTCCTGCCCTTGGGGGAGGGACGAGGGATTTAGGAGAGGTTTTTCCATGGGCTCTCACCACGCCTGAGAAGCTGGAAATTAAGTTTGGACTGTCGGGGAGATCTACCAGCTGTGATCTAGTGGGATGCGTGTGACAAAGCTCGCCAGGCTTCTCGTGGCCAGGATGGGTTCCCATAGGGTGGGAATAAGAATCCCTGGGCCAGATCGAGAAAAACGAAGAGTGCGGAAGAAGATCAACGCAGCCTGGGTTGCGGGGTCAGCCCGCGCGCTTTGTCACAGACGTGGTGGGAGGACTGAAGAGCTTCCCCGGTCTTAGGCGCAATGGCTGGACAGAACACAAACGAAATGTTCCCGGTGCGGAAAAGCTGGCGACGCTCAGGTAGTCAAGATCCGCGGCTTGTGAAGCTAGGAAGCAGTGGGGAAGTGCGAGTGTAGAGCCGGTTACATCGACTAGGAGACAACAGACACACTTGCTCAAGGTCTTTGCCTTTGAAACACTGGATAAAAGTTCCCCATCCCCCAAGTCTCCTGTTGCCCATCTCTCTCTGCACCACTCGCTGAAAAACGACCACATCCTGGGATTTTTGTCATCCTCCCCGATCCTAACATCCTCATGTATATATCCTCATGTGTGGTTCCCTAAGGAATGGTGAGGGCTAGAGATCTCCAATGGAGTGAAGGGACCAGGAGCTAACCTTGAGCAGAAGAAATCACCAACTATGAGGCGTTAGCTCTTCTGGAAGAACCAGGAAGGGATGTACCCAGAAATGGCTCTTGCCACAGCACAGATGGACCTCCGCAAAAACCGTGGCCGAAGGTTAGAGATTCAGGGAGGGTGGTGGAAGTTAGGAGAGACTGAGCACTGCTAGTCTGGGAAGATCCTATTTCCTTAACATTTTTGAAGAACTCGTTAGGAGCTCTAAAGCGCCTCATTTGCCTTTACACCTCCATTTAGTACATGAGCCACTTAAGACCCAAAAGCTCCCAGTCATTCGATTGTCAGTACTCTCTGAGGTGCACACTTGAATCCCCAGTCCGAGTTTGCCACTCCTGAAGCTTACCGGTGTCCAACTTTTAGGAACACCAAACCGTAGTTCTGAGCTCATGCCCCTTAAAGCCACTGATGGCAGAGTCCTCAAAACAACAGTATCAGACCCCTGAACATTACCCATGCCACCAGCACCCGCAATTGCCCCTTTCAGCACCCGGAGGTGGTTCTAGGTGATGGATCCATTGTGAATCCGAGGATTCCAATGCTAGCTCTGGGTCTCAAAATCTCAAGTCACCTCTTTTCTCTCATTCAACACACAGTGGAGCCTTCAGAGAGGGGTGGGAACAAGATTCAGAGTCATCTTTGGAGACTTAAAGCGCACAAATCCCAACCTGCTCTTCTGTCCTGACGACAGTGGTCACGGTCCTGTCCATCCCCCGCCCCCCCCTCCCCAATGCAAAGCGCTCTTGAACCGGAATGGCCTGGAGCTCACACTGGGTCCTCCCAACTCCCCAAAGCCGCAGATTGTGGCTGCGCAAGGCGCCCTAGGCAGCAGGACTCCTTTGTGCGTCCCAGACCGCCCACCTAGCTCCCAGATCGCCACAGGACTTCCGGGCAGCTCTTGTTTGGAAGGAAATCGAATTTTACCAGTCCACCAGCCAAGAAACTTGAGTTGTAACCCACCGGTACGCAGCTTCGGGTCTGTTTACTGGTTTTAAGTCATGAGTCCCCATAGAACGTTATTCCATCAAAAATTGAAAACACACATCTGATTTTCTTGCCCGATTCTCCAAGGCAATTGAGCAATCTCTTTAGATGGTTGATATTCAGAACCACGTTATGTAAATTTGCCCATGGATCTAGAATAAATGGCTCGGAGTTCCATTTATTTATTTACTTACTTATCTACCTGTCGTGATTAAGAAATAAAAACATTGCGCTACCACAGCACACAATGGCTGCATTGTTTACACAAAGAACTTCAATGATATCTACAGCGAACTGTCTCAAAGTTCAGTTTCCTTTACTTTTGATTCATTCTTTGCATGTGACTTTTCTTAACGTCCCTTGCCTTTTCTTTCTTTCTTTCTTTCTTTTTTAAACCACCTCCCACTATTCCCTTTTATCCAAGGACACCATGGAGACAAATGAAAAGTGGTTAACAGATTCCCTCAGGCAATTAAAGCGACCCCTTCATCCCACTCCCATACCTTCCAATTTCCATTTTTACTTCACAACCAGACCCTTTAGGGATGTGGGACTCCAAATGTGGGATCCACTCCAAATCAATAAAACAGTAACCTCTGCCAAGAATGAAGCAGTAAGAACAGAGACTGTTTTTTCAAAGTAAAGACAAATTGCACTCCAACTCAGAGAAAGTCATGTAAGTCTCATGATTAATACAAGATTTGTCTCTGCATTATTAACACTGAAAATCTCCTCTCAAATAAGTCTTTGATAGCACTGGCTATGGATACTATTGCACTCCTAAATTCTGGCTAAGCCATGGATTTCATCACTATGTTAAAATACTTACATTAGTTTTGCTAACTGTAAAATATGTGTGTGCTCTTCCATTTCTTTGATGACACTGGGAAAAATTTGGAAGTTAGGAGAAGAAAAGTTTCTCCTTCATCATCTGTACATTCCTAACAATTGCATCATGAGAACTTGCAGAGTTGGAAAAGTGTGTTTCTATTAAAAGAACACAGTGTTTTAAATCTTGTTGCATTCTGAAAATAAATAATAAATAAGTAAGTAAGTAAATAAATCTTGCTTCTTTGCGTAGCCACATCCATTGTTTACATCATCACTTCTTTTAAAGGAGAAAAAGAAATCGCCTTTCCAGAAACTCTTTGTATGTGAATATTCTTTAAAACTGACAGGACATAGAAGCTTACACAAAATCAGGAGAGCTAACAGCCAAAACCAATATTTGACCAATGTGTGCAATCTTCTCTTTCTGGAACCTTTACCCTAAAACATCTTTTCTCTCAGACTATGTAAAAGAGCGTTTTCCATTCTCTCCTAAGTCACCAATCTAAATTCTCTCTCTCTCTCTCTCTCTCTCTCTCTCTCTCTCTCTCTCTCTCTCTCTCTCTCTCTGTCTCTGTCTCTTTCACCTTCTTCTTTATCCCTTACCAGCATTATAGTACTTGCTCAAAGTACCAAGAATCGAATGACCTTGGCCCCTGCTTTATCATTAATTATCTGTGTGACCTCTGAGAATTCAGTGGCCTCCCTTTCTGCTGCATTTTTTCCCAGTGAGTAAACTAAAGACGTGAGGTTAGATGTTCCATAAAGCCTTTTAAGATTCCAAAGATTATCTAGTGATTCGCTTTACCCCAATGCCACAAATTGCTTTCTGTAATATCCTAACACTATCTCTACCAATTACATATAGGGCAAAAGAATAAACTGTGGGGGTCACAAAGAGGAAAGAAAAATCAAGTAGACCCATCTGTAGGGTCCTCTTCACCTGATCGTCCTGGGAAGATATTCTTTGGATCATAATTCTTCCTTCCTGGGCTTCTGTTCCATTATTACCGTTTCTGTGTGGGTTTTGCTTTGCCTAAAGCAATGTTCAGGACTGAGGTGAATATGATGTCAGTCATGAAGGTAATTTCAAAAGGCACCCAGAGAAAGAAGGCGTACTCACATGGCTAAAGAATTATTAATGCATATGTTTTAGTGATGTCCACAAAAATATAATCACCTCTCATGTATCTCTAGAAAATTCAGAGACTCATTATTGCTGTGGCTACTTGTATAATTTCAAGACATTTTGGGTTCCTTCGGCAAGAATAAAAAAAAAAAAAAGAGCATACACAAACTATTTTAAAAGTGCATTGTGCCTAGATGCTCATGGGGCATTTTTTGAAAGAGCTAACACCTTGCTTGTAGAGTGCCAGTTTAGACTAATGGCTTCTTTTTCCCCCGAGGAAAATCCTCCTGACAAATATCACTGAGAACTTTCATAGCTATTGGCTTGAACACCTGGGCACACAGTAACATATCTAAGTGGACAATGATACACACATTACATCTCATGATGTTTTCTCTCAGA